TGATATGGAGTTCTAAATTATTTTTCTTTTGCTAAATAATTTATTTGCCTTTTTATTTCCTTCCTTCCTTCCTTTTCTTTCTTTCTTTCTTTTCTTTCTTTCTTTGTGTTCTTCCATGAATGTTTAGGATTTATAGTCTGAATCACTTCTTAATTACAGGCTTTGGGTGTTATTTTAAACTATTTTTCACCAGGGGCAAACTCGTGGTTTGAAACAATGCAAAGAATAAAGGCGTTAAGAACTAATAACCATTTGAATTAAGTGTCTCCGATAAACAAAAATCTCTTATAGAGGGAATTTGAAAATCAAGTTTAATGCCTTCATTTCATCATGCAATCTCTGAGTTAGAATTAAGATCCTTTAAAATGTCTAGGAGGTGGGTTTTTTTTGCAATAAAAATAAAATATTTCAAACTCAAAAATTTCTAAATGAAGCATACCACATATAATCATCATTTCTCTAATTAGATAAAAATCATTCTGTTTAAGATTGTGTGAAACCCGTCGCTCATGCCTATAATCCTAGTCACTCAAGAGGCTGAGCTCCAAGGATCACAGTTCAAAGCCAGCCTGGGCAGGAAAGTCTGTGAGACTCTTATCTCCAATAAACCACTAGAACGGGGAGTGGTGATGTAGCTCAAGTGGGGAGCTAGCCTTGAGCTGAAGAGCTCAGGGACAGCGCCCGGGCCCAGAGTTCAAGCCTACAACTGAAAAAAAATCCCATCAAAGAACTTTTCAGCTGTTGCTGGATAACTAGAAAGGGCATAAAAAAAGATTGTGTGAACATTTGTGGGACTGTCACCTAATTGATGCTGGAATTAAGATAAATCACATTTAACAGTTTTGTGGATGACTTCTGAGAGCTCCTCGAGAAGATATTTAAGTACTCTGAGGCACTTTTGTCCACATAACTGGCTTTCTGTTCCATTCTTTGCTGGCAGCAGTTCATTACCAACTGTGTGTCAGGCACAGAGGCAAAAATGGAAGTGTAAAAATGACTCTAAAAACAGCCTGTTCTCAAGTAACTCACAAAAAAAAATTAAGTCAATCAGCGATCACAATAGAAGCTGACAAATAAAATGATGTTCCACCTGTTGGGATAGAAGACTAAGAGCACCAAGTGTAGCTACCTGGATGGAAGGGAGACCCTGATAGAAAGAGCTATTAAGCAAGCTGCCTGCATAGAAGGTATAGTTCTGACCATGAAAGTTAGACTCATATTAGTTAAAGCAGACAGAGAGTGGAGAACCAAGACTGTTGATCATGTCTACCTTTATTTCATTTGCTGGGGAGGTTTATGAATATATTACATGGACGGCTGAGTTCTGTGCTTGGCATTGATGATTAGCAGCTATAAAAACTCAGAACCAATCAATCATGCTTTAACACTGTACTTTCTATAAGGCATGTTCCCATACCATTATTGAACCTTGTAGAATGATGACCCAGTTCATTTTGATTTTTGCATTGTTAATCTCTTAAGCAATGAAAATCCTCTTAACAAATACAGTTTTTCTGAATTTCTTTTTCCTTCCTCTAAGACTCTCTTCTTCCTTGCAGCTCCATTCTTTTCATTTTGTTGCTCACTCTTCTTTTCTCACTTTAAAATCTAATCTACAAATATTACTTGGTGCATGGTAAAAATGTTTTTTTTTTAATTGAATAACACTTCATGGAAAGTTCTGATGCTCACTCAATATAGTTGTTTTTTTTTTAGTCTTTGAGTACAATTCTTTTTTTTCTTTTTTGTCAGTCATGGGGCTTGAATTCGGGGATGGGTGCTGTCCCTGAGCTTTTTCACTCAAGGCTACTGCTCTACCACTTTGAGCCACACTGATACTTCTAGTTTTCTGGTGATTAATTGGAGTTAAGCGACTCATGGACCTTCCTGTCCCAGCTGGCTTCAAACCATGAGCCTCAGATCTCAGCCTCCTGAGTAGCTGGGATTACAGGTGTGAGCCACTGGCACATGACTTTAAGTACAATTCTGAGATTTAGAAAATCTTGAGGAAACAATGTAATGACTGAGCACTGAACCTTTCTCCTGTTTTGCTCTAATCCAATTAAAGCAAAAAAAGAAAGAGCAACGGGGAAAGCTCAGGCTCTCTTTTTTAAAACAGGAAGTGGGTCACATTGAAGCTTAATTTTACCCCAAAAGCCCATAATAGGACAAAGTGTCAGGACTAAGCCAGCATAGATGTGTTTTGTTTTTTGTTTTTAAATAAGATTTTTTTTGTGAAAATGCTGTACAAAAGGGTGACAATTACATGAGCAAGGTAATGAGTACATTTCTCATCAAGCATTGTTACTTCCTCCTTTGTTTTTCCCCTACCATCCCTTCCCTCCCATCTCCACAACTACACTCCCCCCCACCTAAATTGTAAAGTTCATTTTCAACATAGCGTCTTGTACAAGCATACATGTTTTTTTAATATTTATTTTGCAAATATTTATTTTGTACACCCTCATCTTAGGTAAATTTCTCCTGGATTTTGTTTGGACAAGTTCTTCACCCCCTCTTCCAGATAAGTAAGACGTTATTTAGTGAGTTATAGATTATTGATCTTTAAGTTGTTAAATGGTCCAGATTATTTAAGGTAGCCAGTTTCCAATTCACTCAAGAATTTCATATCTGCGCCAATATATTAACAAAGGGCAGGAGGAGTGGTTCAAGTGGTAGAGCACCAGCTAATCTTTCACCAAGGAGAAGGTTATATATCTTAAGTAGGAACCTTAAATAGTTTATATCTCAAGTAGTCATTTTAATGTCACAATACTTAAGTAGATGTATGGATTATTTTGCTCACATAGTCTAATGGACACACAATGGTTAACTATTTACCTTTTTCCCCCCAATACAAGTCAGAGGTTCAAACCTACAAGATTCATAGGACTACACTGATTTGTAGAAGAGTTGATTGTTCTGAGTTAGTTGCAGTGGCTCTCAGGTGTAGGAAGTTTGCACTTGGGTTTCTCTCGTTAGTGGCCATTCTGCCACTTCCTCCGAGCTTTGCCTGCTTGAAACTGACGAGAGAGCGTGACAGCTACGTGGTAATGGGATAATAGTGCTGTCATGGAACAGAAGCATGACGTTCTCTGCCTTCTGCTGCGGGAGATGGAGGGCAATCAGAGCACACTGGAGTCTAGATACTAATTCTATTGCTCAAATAAAATTAAAAATGGAAGAATGGCGTAGAGTTGCTATCTTTTTCTCTTTGTTGTTTATTTATTGCTATGAAGTCAGGCTAGACTCTCTAGGTGGCCCATGAGAACTGCTCTCTTTCTTTGGCTATTTAAATCGGAAACTTCCTAATGACAAACGTTATGTATAGTACCACCCTCTGCCCCTTCCCCCATTTTTTTTTTAACAAAGACATCTGTTTCAGAGTCAAAATGAAGCAAGGAACTAGGCACCAGTGCTTTATGCCTGTAATCCTAGCTATTCAGGAAGCTGAGATCTGAGGATTGGGGTTTAAAGACAGCCCAGGCAGAAAAGTCCATGAGACTCTACTCAGAAATAGCCACAAGTGGCACGATGGTTCAAGTGGCAGAAAGCTAGCTTTGAGTACAAAGAAGCTCAGGGATAGTGCCCAGGCTCCGAGTTCAAGCCCCAGGACTAGCGAAAAAACCAAAACCGGAAAAAAACCCAAACAAAAGAAAACCACAAAAACCAAAGAAACAAACTCAAAACCCCAAACTAAAAACCAAACAAACAAAAAACCCAGCATAGCAAGGGTAAAATCTCAGAGTAAATGGAGTCTGTTCCAAGAGGGTTCCTAGTGACACGGTATTTGATGGTTTCCCTTCACTGTGTTGCCGGGAGCGGCCTTTTTCCTGTGGAGTGTGCCTTAAGGCTGCAGTCAGGGCCCCGTGTTGTAACTGTTCCTTTGACGGTGCTGCAGCTCTTGGTTTTCCTTCTAATGAATTAAGAGGCTATAAAGGTATTTTGTTGTGAGATTTTTGTCCAAGTTTTAAAATGATCAAAGAGAGAATTAGGGTTGACATCTCACCTAGCTTGAGTATTATGAAGTGACCTTGGCCAGTGCTGAGAAATATGTGGTTAAAATGTGGGTGTTTTGCTCACCTCACAGATCTCCACTAACTTAATAGGATTTTGCTTCCTGTCTGGCTCCAGCTTTGACTTTTTCTCTTTCCCTTGATGTTTACTTATTTTCTGGTAGCGCTAGGACTCAAATCCAGGGTCTACTTGCATGGTAGACAGATGTTCTACCAGCGAGCCACACTTCAGCCCCCTCCTCTCTCTTTTCCCTTTTCTCTTTCTCTCTATTTCTCTCCCTCCCTCCCTCCCTCCCTCCCTTCCTTCCTTCCTTCCTTCCTTCCTTCCTTCCTTCCTTCCTTCCTTCCTTCCTTTCTTCCTGCTTTTCTTCCTTCCTTATCATGTTTATAAAAGGTTTTTGTTCTATCAGTATGAATTCATTGATACGTTACACTTTATTTTGTTTGCTCAAGGCACATCTTAATATTCTAAAGAAGGGCTGGGAAGGTAGCTCAGTGGTAGAGTGCTTGCCTTGCATGCATGAGGACCTAGGTTCAATTCCTCAGCACCATATAAGCAGAAAAAGCCAGAAGTGGCACTATGGCTCAAGTGGTAGAGCGCTAGCCTTAAACTGAAGAACTGAGGGACAGTGCCCAGGCCCAGAGTTCAGGCCCCATGACAGACAAAAAAAAAATCTAAAGAATGCCTCAAAAAAGCCTTTTAAATATCTAGAGAGGACTGAAGAGTATGGTAAATTGTGATGTGGAGACTTTTCAGAACTTAGAATGGTGAATTCAAAGTTACACAAATCTCCAGAGAATGACACCTGGGGGTTGTCGTACCAAAATAAATCTTACACCTTCATCTTTTTAACGTCTATTCCTGCTTGCTCTCCTCTTGAAGCAACACTGAGGGGCTCTTGTTAGACAGGAACAGAGAAGAGGGATGGCTTAATCACCATTTTCTTGTATTCTCTTTTGTTTTGTTTTGTTTGTGGAACACAGACTGCCCGGCAAGCATCTTCATCCTCACCCAAGCTGGGTGCGGCCTCTAGCTGTTCCTCTTTGGAGAGTAAAATAAAGACACCCAGCAGCTTTTCTTCCTCGGCATCTAAAGAAAGGCAGTCCTGGCTTGACATCGTTAACAGCTCACCTGTGGCCGAAGATGTGGGGCAGCCCCAGGTGTTTGCTGTACAGGTCCATGAGCCGGCGCGGACCTCAGAGGCACACAGTCACAGGGCCTCCGAAAACAGCTCGATTGTCTCAGAAAGTGGGTTTTTGAACTCTTTGTCTAGTGATGACACATCTTCATTGAGTAGCAATCAAGACCATCTGACTATCCCGGACAAATCTACTGGATCAAGGATGACAGATAGAGGTAAACCAAAAATGTATCTACTTGTCTGTAGATTGAATATTGGTAGGTTTATTATGTGAGTCTGTAACCAGAATGTTTCAACTCATCAATGGTGACTCAATCGTTAAACAGCTCTTGGGCCTGGGCCTGGGGTTGCTTTTGTAGAACTTGCCTGTGACAAAGATATATACCGGGTCAATAATTGCTGGCTGTTGAATGCGACTCACCAAATGCTCTAGGGCCATAAGACATTTGATCGTTAATGATACTTCTCCACCAATTCGAGAAAAAGATGAACTCTTTTTCTTCATCATATCCTTTTCTCTGGAACATGTGGTGATTAAATCTGTAGTCTAAGATTCATAATTTCCCTTTGATGGCTCTAAATATGTTGAGAATGACCACCCTCCTAGATACTCAGAGATGGTATTAGTCGTGGCCATTGGCTCCTGAGTTCACCTGTGTGATCAGTGGAAGGATGGATCTGCATGGCATGCCAACCCCTTTAGGTGTGAAGGAGAGAGATGGAAGATAGGAAGTGACAGTGCTCATCTACCACGGGCAAAACCACACCAAAGGAGAAAGCAAAACAGCCAGCCAACCAACAAACCCCAAAAGAAAGCGCAGCTTACCTTTTTGGAAAACATTTTAAGTCTTAACAAAAAACCAAGGAGTAAGGGTATGCAGAAATTAATCATGTGAATTTAAAAGTATATAAGATAGTTATTCCTTTTCTTTTGTTCAGGTCTGGCCTCCTTGTAGTATTATTCGGTCATGTGCCTTTTCTGAATGTTGAGTCTTCATTTGTGGGTAAAATAGGCTTATCTGATGTAAGGTGTGGATCAGTGAACTTGGGTTGTGTTTTCTTACTGTACTAGCTATAGAAAGTGGCTGTGCAGCATTGCTGTAATAACTATCCAGTGTTCTCTAATGACATAAATGGATATGCTCACCTCGCTTAAAATCAGAGATGGTATCTTTCAGTTCTCAAATTTTCAGAGGCATCCTATTATTTTAATTTTTGGTTTGAGAAAAATTTAGGTCAAGGGTTACAACTGCAGATTGATTTGTCTCTGTCTCTGTCCCTCTCTCCCTGTGAGTATGCAGTGTGTTTGTACATGTGTGTGTGTGTGTGTGTGTGTGTGTGTGTGTGTGTGTGTAGTGCTTCCAAGTATGTGAGCATGAATTAGAGCAATCAGGTTGGTAATATCTTCTCCAGGTCACCCCAGCTGTCATCATTTCCTAAGGCACTTGAGTTACCTGCCTGGCCACTTTTGTTCGATACCCCCAATCTAGTGCTACTTTCTATTGTACATCAGAAAAAAACTTCAGTGGAGGAAATCATTTCTAGAAGGGGATAGTGGTAGAGTAGGATAGAAAAGCAAAAGGAGACAACATCACTGAAGAAAATAAAGGAATGGAAATTGGACTGTGAGGACTGACTAGATAGATCTGGGTTGGCTTTGCATTTGTGAGGTGCTTTGGTGCAGAGTAGTGGAGTCAGCTGTGGTTCCTTGAGAGTAGGAAATTGGTCAGTGGTACAAGTGAAACAGGTATAGATTCAGGTTCAGGTTCTGCTTGAGAAATGTTAAGAAACATTCTGAGCTATTCAGATAGAGTAAGCTCCTTGAAAAGTTCACACATCTCCATCCTCAGAGTTGTTTGTTCATATGGAAATGACTGCTTTCCTCAAACTCTGATTACACATTGTAAGTTTTGTTCTTGGGAAGATTTACCAAAGAGAGAATCCAGGCACCTTGATCTAGATGACTCTCTAGCTTAATGCTTAGAAGATCTCTTCAGACATAGGATTATTTGAACTTAATAAAATAATAAAAGTGTGACACCCATTATTTTCCTATTAAGAACTCATATTCATAATCAGACTAGAAATAGAGGTAAAAAAAGTTTCCATGTGCACAAAGATATAGCCACACCTTACTTGATAAGCAAAGCTCCAAAAGCCTCAGAGATACTAAAGTTCCATTTACATTCTGTCCTGAGAGAACACCCTGGAGCCTCAGAGATACTAAAGTTCCATTTACGTTCTGTCCTGAGAGAAAACCCTGAGATTTATCTTTTAGGATTAATATGAGAGTCATGAGAAGATGCCTGCAGTTGTTGGCTGTGTATAAACGTGGTTCAGGAACTGAATGGGCTGAAAGCCTGGCTGGGGACCAGTCTCTCTCAGTCTAAGAACGAGGAAACCTGATATTACTTAAGTTTGAGTTACATGTGGAGTGACCAGCAAATTCTGCATGTGTCTTCAGACAGCTTGGAGTGAACGTATTTCCCTGGGCAGAGATGAAGGGAAAATGAAACGACTTTTCCCTCCTCACTGATTTGTTGGCAGCTGCCATATGTTACAGATTTCTGGTGATGATTTTCCCCTGCTGCCAGGGATTTGGTTAAATTCCCAAAAGAGATGAACCACATAAAGTCGTCTCCATGGAAACAGCAGCCCAATCGTTGCCTGGGTTTGTGATGAGTTGCTGTTGAGTAATCAAGTTGCACATTGAGCTTTTTTTTTTTTTAATGTGTCATTGTGTGTTGGAGAAGAAGGTAGCTTTTCATTTTTGTGACTTCTAAAAATAATAATTCACTTAATTGTCAATGTAATTAAAAAGCCCTAAGATTCTTGGGTGTGAACCATTTTTCAGGGTCTTTTTCAATCAGGGATTGAAGTTTTCAATAAGATCCAAGGTAGGAGTTAAAATTTGAGAAGATTAAGTCCTAGTCACCAGAGGCACGTGCTGGAGGAACACGCATTTATCCCAGGGAAGATTCTTAAAGGTTAATAACTGAGTCCTGAGACAAGCAGACAGCATGTATTATAGCCTTTCTTTTATTTAGACAAGAAGAGAAATATTTTGCAGTTAGTATACAATTAAAATTGTGGTTGTTAGAATTTTATACTGACTTTAAATATCCTTTTATATATCTTAGACATTTCTTCCTGTAATATAAGCTATTAAAAAAAACCACAAAAGGGTATTAATTGCATCCTTTCTCTTTTCTACACTGAGAGTTTCAGACTTCCCGAACTCTAGGGATTCTGTCCTAGCTTTCAACACAGCACAGCAAGAACAGAGATCATGCTTTAGTTGTTGTTTATCATGGGAATATTTTGTTGGTCCTTAGTTATGAATGATAGCAATACTAGATGGCATAATCTAGATAATCGTTGTGTTCTGCTGATACTTAAATATTTAATTCCATAATCTTCTTGATTTTGGTTTTCGTGGAGAGATCTACTCTTGTGATGGACTTGAGTTACAGTTGATTTGGCACATCTCTCTTGCAGCCGTCTTTCAGTATTCTTGTTCTTGTCCCTAATGCCTTACTTAATTATTATATACCATGGGAGGGGTCTCTATTCTTTTATTTCCTTTTTTGGGAGTGTGGGGTTCTGCAGTTCTAAAGACTTCCTGAACTTGGATAAACATCTCTTTTTAAAGATTTTTAGAACTCTGTTATTCTTTGGTTAAATATATTTCCTATGCCTTAGGCTAGTACTTCTCCTATGCCTATGATTCATAGGTTTGGTCTTTAAAATGGATTCCTAGAGTTCTTACATCATACTTTCTTTTATTTATTTTTTTTAAAATTTTATTGTCAAGTGTTGTACAAAGGGGTTACAGTAACGTAAGTAAGGTAGTGAGTACATTTCTTGTCAACTTGTTACCCTTTCCCTCATTGTTCTCCCATTTTCCCTCTCCTCCTTCCTCCTCCCCCCTTCCCAAGTTGTACAGATCATTTCCAACATATTCTCTTGAGAGTATCACTGTTGCATTGGGTCCCCCTTTGTCCTTTGTCTCACCATTGAGAGTATCACTGTTGCATTGGGTCCCCCTTTGTCCTTTGTCTCACCATTTTGTTGTTTCCCCTTCCCTTTCCTAATTCAGCTAAATTGGTACCCAGGGTACCAAATTCTTTTTGTCCTCTCCTGGTTTGTCTATAGTGTTTATCTTGTCTTCCAGCACTAAAATTATCTTCCATTTTATCTACTATGTGAGGAATGCTTTCAACTGTATTTATTTCTTTGATATTTTGAGCTTTTCAATCTCTTTATTCTCTGTTTAAGGCAATGTCTTGTTTTGCAACCCAGGTATATCTCAAACTCAAGATTTTCCTGCATCTACCTTCTAAGAGCTGATGTTATAAATATGTGCCGCCAGATCTGAGTCTATTTTTCTATGTACTAATACAGATATATAGATACAATACTCTAGGTTTTATTTATTTATTTATTTTGCTGGTCCTGGGGCTTGAACTCTGGACCTGGGCACTGGCTCTGAGCTTTGCTCCACCACTTGAGTCACAGTACTACTTCTGGCTTTTTTGAATAGTTTATTGGAGATAAGAATCTCATGGACTTTCTTGCTGGCGTGAGCCACTGATGCCTGGCAAGGTTTTATATTAAATACAAACATTATGCATAGTTATTTATAGTTTGATTTTCCCCTCATAAAAACCTTCCTCGTTAGTACAAACAGATCTGTCTCATTACTGTTTTATAATAGCACAGTTTTCTGTGTTATAGTGCTTTTACCAATTCAGTCTTGCCAGCTATTCTTCAGTTGATAGGGATTTAAGATCTTAATTTGTCACCATTATAAAGAGTAATACAAAACTTTTTTTTGTTTTTGTTTTTGGGTCGGGTTGTGGGGCCTGAACTCTGGGCCTGGGCACTATCCCTCAGCTCTTCAGCTCAAGGCTAGCACTCTACCACCTGAGCCACAGCGCCACTTCTGGCTTTTTTTCTTTTTTGCTTATGTGGTGCTGAAGAATCGAACCCAGGGCCTCAGGCATGCAAGGCAAGCGTCCTACCACTGAGCCACCTTCCCAGCCCCTACAGAACTTTCTTATATGTATCACATTATGCATTAGTGCTATTATTTCTTTTGAGGTAGTTTTGATGACATCATCTTTTTTAGACTATAACACATAAAATGTTGAGATACACAGAAAGTTTGTTTTCAGCCTCAGTTATAAGTTGAATGAGTTTAGGGAAACTAATG